ATAGGAGCGCTGTACACGAGCTGTTCTCTCAAGTTTAGGTCTCTGCTGGGAGCTGTGGGTTTAATGGCTGCTGCTGGCTCTACTAAAGACATGGACGGTGGTTCTTTGCATTGGTGTGGGTGTGCTGTAATGCTGAATGTGCAAGCATAAAAAGTAGTGCACTTCACTTCTTTGGGGCAGTTAGCCGACCAGTTATTATGATTACTCTTAAAAAAAAAGACATATTGTGCTTGTGTCTGCTAAATAGTTATAATCTATGGCACCCGTGTATCATTATGTTGTAATTTGCATATTTTAAAATCACAAAACTAATCTAAAATGACTTCTGGGTTAGAAAACTGCGGTGCCCAATGGGAACTGATGTTGCCATAAACGTCATAACAACAAAAAGCAAGGCAGTTGTTGGGACTTCCAATGGATAGCTGGATTTTTTTTCCCCATTTGTACCAAAATGATCTGCTGAATCCTATGTGCCAAATCAACAATTAAGAAAAAAGGAGAAAGATGTAAGCATAGAATTTGGCCGTCTTGAAAATAAGTGATTAAAGATTGCTCAGACATGCGCAAATAACTCCAAATACAACTTGTGGTGAGTAAATGAGAAGGGGAAATAACTATAACATGGTCAAAAGTCGATGTTTCATTATAGGTCTGCTTTAATATTTTTAATTTTGATAATACATGTAAAGGAAATTTAAATATCGTGTGATTATTTTATCTTTTAGAAACATTTGGTCTTGTAACTAAAACTCATTTGGTTGGGTAGTTAAAGTTAGAAAGACCCTTCAGTGTAAATACTTCTGTTCTATTATGCTTGCTCATCTTGTCTGGAAGTGACCAAGGCAGGTAAATATGGATGCAAATCAGATCAAGTTGTCTTTCAGACCTCTTTCTCTTGTTGGAATATATCACACCTTGTATTGTTTTAACTCCAGGAAGGCCAACAGAAACACATCTGGCCACACCTCAGTACAAGTCGTCACCTTCTCACTTGAAATGTGTGTCCTCTGGTCATCTCATCCTATATAAACTTGGTGATTGTATCATTCGGGGTCTGACGTCTGGGGGACATGCTGCTGGTTGTTCTGTTGGACCAATTTCTTATAAGAAATAAACTCTGTGTCTTTGCTTCAACATCTTTCAGTGTCTTCAAAAGGAGTCTTTGTCCTCAACATACATATAGCATAATTGGCAGGTGACTTACTCAAGGACAGAGTAACAGTATCCACTCGTCAGAGCTGGGATCAAACTGCCAACCGTCAGGTGTATTGGCAAGTATTCTACCACAGATCCACTGTTGTCATTGCAAAACAGTTGCACATTTCTGTAAACACAATCCTGTCTCTAGCTTAGCCAGCCGACTAACTTTGTAGCTATTTCTAAACTGAGTGTGTTCCTCCTGTAGTGGGTATGAGAGGCAGAATAGCATAGGGTGGTATGAATATGTGGTGTTGAGTACAACCAACAGGGCACCAAAAATAATTTTCCATCATATGAGAGATGTCAGTGGGACTTGTGTTAGTAAAACAATGAGTAAGACTCACCATAAGTGTGAAATATGGAAAATGAGATGGGCTAAGCTGTCCCAGTCACCACTGTGCCAGAACGACTGTATGCCTGATAGGGATGTAACAATAACCAAAATATCGTGATATCGCATTGTCAAAGTTCTCACAATAATATCATGGTCCATCACAATATTACTGGAAATATCACCTTTCAGTTTTGTTCAAGTTTATAATTTTACTTCTTGCTTGGACATGGGCAACAGATATGACATAGCAGAGCACTTCTTTGTACATACTTCACTCTCCAATTTCATTTTCTAAATCAGTGATACACGTAGGAGTCAGCAGTCGGGATGTAACAATAACCGAAATATTGTGACATTGTATTGTCAAAGTTCTCACAATAATATCGTGGACCATCACAATATATCGATTTACAAGTCTCTTTGCTTAAATTAAGAGTTATGGTGCAGCAATAGCTAAAAAAAGACAGAGGGAGCTACATAGACCATGATCATTTGCATTTCAGTGTAGACTACAAGAAGAAATAACAGTTCTAAGCACTTTTAAGTCTTAGTTCTTTGGGTTAAGTCTTGTCAAGGCATTTTAAGAGGAAAAAGTAGCATATTAACAGTTTTGTTAGCCGCCACAAAATATCACAATAAATATCGTACCGTGAAATGTATATTGTGAAAATATTCTATCAAGAGATTTGGATATTGTTACATCCCTAATCGTGAGTCTCCCCACCATATCGTGAGCTTTCCCACGATCTCGCAATAAATATCGTACTGTGAAGTTCATACCGTGATGATATCGTATCATGAAAAATGGATATCGTTACACCCCTAACGCCTGATCAACAGCACAAAAAGGCCATCAATTGTCCTGCATCGTGTTGTAAAAGCTATTCAGACTTGACTGGGCCATCACTTCCATCAAACCAGATCAATGGAAAGCTTTTAGTCAGACTTGAATATAGTTTAAACCTGTTGGGACCATGGTGAAAGAGGGCTCATTTTAAATGCACAATACTGTATATTATAGATAAGAGATTTCTTATCTCATGTTTGAAATGGAAAGAAAAAGTGCATTTCAGAACAAAATGAATTAACTACCAAACAAATACTGGAATCAAATCATAAAATAAGTAATGCGGACTAAAAGAAAGAACACTAATCAGGTCACGTATACCAACTTTAAATCTCGTCCCAACAAAGCGCATCGACTTTACCTTCAGCTTACATTGTCACCACTGCTATTTTCCACAGCAAGTGCTCTAGTTATCTTTAAGTGCATGTCATTACCAACCTAATAGACACTTGTAGAGCCCAGTTGTTCACTCGTTTACTTAAAAAACTTGTCACTCAGGTACAGCGGAAAACCACATTTAGCTCGACTTGTTGCGTGAGTATACATACTATAATGTGATTACTGCACAATTGGACTGCACAGATTGTACGGGATGCAAGTCGTCTCCGCGTCAACAAATCATTGTGTTGGAGAATGGAAAATCCACTTTGCCGGTATAAGGCTCTTAGCTTTTGTGCTGAGTCTGAGTTGGAAATACAATAGCGTAAAAGAGGAGAAAGGAGCTCATATATAATCCACATTGGTTCCCATAGAGATGCTTTGATCACGCTGTTCGTACGCTGAAGGTTTGGGAGGCTTTGTGAACCAGTTTATGCGGTTTTCATCTCGGATCGTCGACAGATGGTGTTGTGCGTGACGCGAGCTCCAACAGATGCTGCTAACCCAACAATAATTATCAATATTCTCGTAATAAGACTGATGGATATTCTATTTGCTATAGAGGTGTGTTTTAACTGCAAACTTGTGCTGTATAAAAACACGTGGAACTGTGTGTGATTTCGAGGTATTCTAGCAAATTCCCATTGTCCAAAGACTTAGGAAATTGGCATGTTTTTGAAAATTCTGTATTCGATATTTGACTTTAGGCTATGATTCTTAACAATAGATATTAACAAGCTGCAATAACTGCACTGTGTAACACCAGCTTCTGTCCATGGGAATGCTGCCTGGAATGTTCCACAGTATGGCATTACACTTATTTATCTCTACAGAGGCAGCAGGTGACACCACAGGTCTAAGTTACATGTCATGTAAGAATGCAAGTTTAAGTCAATAAAAATCCATGTTATTCAGTAAACACAAGATGAATACGTTTAATGCCACACCGGGACATTCCAGACCAAGCTACAACATCTCCATGGAGACAAGCAGGTGGCGTACCCTCCACCAGAAAAGTTACACAGTGCACGTTTAATTAGGTGCATTGTAAGCCACGTATCTCCGCGTAATGCCTGTCTAGTGGTCTGTCTAGTTTTAGTTTCATTATTTTTTTATTAAGAGTGAACTAACTTTTTGGGTGTAGATTAAATCCCGAGGCCAAGTTACCAGCCAGATCTGTGGAAAGGCAACCCTCCTCACAGTAAGAATGGACAATATAATAATAGCATCTCCGTGGAGACAAGCAGGTGGCAAACTCCTCATCAGAAAAGTTACACAGCACACCTTAAACTGATTCATCATATTTCAAAAGATTGACTCCACAGTGTGACATTAAACAACTCTACCTAAGATTTATTCAGTTACTTGGTGGTTTAATAGCTCAAAAATACAGGCATTCTGACTGTGAGTGGGGTTGCCTCTCCACAGATCTGACCTATAACTGTAAAAAAGTGCCCAGTTCACTTTTATGCTACAAGCATGAAACTTTGCCAAATTAGACTGCACATGTCACAAAACAGCTCACATGGAAATGAAGCTGGGAGCTAAATTTCTGCTTAAAGCGCCTTTATAGGAAAATAATGTTCAATTATTACACAGGTTATAAAGAAGAATATGTATGTGTTTTCAGTGCCATACAGGTGTCACTCCACTAATTCGATCCCTGTGTTCCCAGCCATATATTTGTGTTACCGTTCAAAAATTCCAAAATACTTTTGAACAAATGTTTGTTCGCATTCATTGTTAATAAAAACACGTTATTAATCATGTATTGACTTGCAGCAAATGAGCTCACACATTTAAAGACTGAGCATGAGCGCCCAGTCCTCTCACAGAAAGCTGCATGTTTCATGGTAAGAACAATTTTTGTTGTATTTGCTGGCTAATATTATTATATTTATACTTCTGTTACTACAAAAAAGTTGCAATAAATATATCTAAATGAAAAACATTTCAGCTTTCATTTTAGTCAATTTTTGGCAAAAAAACAAAAACAAAAAACAAACAAACAAAAAAAAAAAAAAAAAAAACTTACACACTGAGCTTAGAAAATTCAATTTTTTCTCAAAGAAATTGCAGTTATTTTGCTTCATGATCAATGTAGTTTGTAGATAAAGATTAAGGTAGAGCATCTGACTCAGTTTGTTCAAGGAAGAAGGGAGGGCGCAGCAGGCCCCTCCCTCTGCTGTTACACAGAAATCAAAAACACTCACTCTGCATTTGCTCAAGGGCACCTCAGCGGCTTCAGACCCTCTGATCAGCACAGGTTAGTGTTTCAAGGCTCTGTACTACAACTACAATTAATACTACAACTATTACTACAACTACTACTACAATGACTACAACTACTCTTACTGCTACAACTACTATTTGTACTCTTGCATTCACTGTCCAAGGCTTGTCCTTGGTTCAGGTTTGATTCATAGATCAGGTTTTTGTGTCAGATTAATGCATTATTATTTATTATTAAGTTGTTGTTAATTCCAAAGAAAATGGTCACGTTTATCTTAATGTGATGACTACAGTGATTTAAGGAAAAACAAATTATGCAACTCTATAAAACAAAGTCTACAGAACAAAACCTGCTAAACCTGTAGTTTACAACTCTGCAAACATGTTCTGAATTGTCCATACAGTCAGATGTCCTCTCTGTATCTCTCTGTATCTCTACACATTCTGTGTAAAATTTGTTCAGTTTAAATCTTATCTTGTCTCAAACGTTTGTGCTTTTGGCTGTGTTTTAAGTGTGAACTTCGAACAGATTCCTACTATTAAATCATAAACCAGACACTTACGTGTCGCAGTAACCGCTGTCACAATAACCGCAAAAATGAATCACTGCCGCACTAAGAGGCCCACCGCGGTGGATGCTGGGCTACTGTGATCACGGCACGTGACCAATGTGACCCGACCCAGAGTCCTGCACGACTCCATTTTTAGAGACCCACACCCGCCCCGACCCATTAACATTCCACCCATTAACGCCCTTGCCCGTGATAACCCAGGACTAACCCAGAACTAACCCAGGACTAAGGTGTGCCCGCACAGTCCATCAGGTGACCGCAGGAGAAAGGACCAGCGCAGAGCTCCGTGCCCCACGAAGGTAAGGGCAGCCATCGCCCGATTGCACTTTGTGGACACCCTGCTCTGCGTGCTCAGGGTTCTCTCTCTCTTAAGTTTCGATTCATTCGATAATTCCCCCAAATTGTTCAAGGGCCCACTTTTCTGATCTTTGCTCTAATGTCGTTTTCTCATTGAACACAATTCTACTATTAACATAAAAAGTTACTCAAACATGTGAGTGAAACAAATACAAGTCCAGCTGTGTTTGTGAGGAGGAACATTAGAACATTAAAACATGGATTAAAGCTCACAGGAGTCAGTTTGGGTGATATTGGAACTTTAAAAAGCCTCTGTCTTGACACTAATGTTTCTTTACATGATTGAGCGAGCTCAAAGATGTCTGTGTAATCTCAGTTGTCCAGGTCTGACCCACAGCAAAAGAAACATTCAGATCTGTAACTGGACAAAGGTTTTAGAGTGAAGACGATTTCAAAGCTTCTTTTTTGTCCCACATTCCTGAAAAGTCTTTAAGTTCATCTATTGAAAATTCACATTTGCAAAACAGCTCACACAAAATCCTAAACAGAATTTTATTTTTCCTAAATAAAATTCAGAGCCTTAGTTCATCTCTCAGGGGCCACAGAGAATCACCGGTTTAGTCCATCTGACTCTGGGGGTCACACTTTACATGTGTTTTGGACTGGAAAAGCTGTGCTATTTGTGTCTGTGTTGTATTATGTAAAATATAAAAGTACATTACCAATTGCAAAGTAAATTTTGTAGTATCTGATCCAAAATACTGATGCAGAAGAAAATGGAAAGATGTTGGAATAGCAAATACACCAACGCTTCTTTAGTCCTGTGATATGTGTTGTTGAAAATCCAACAGAAGTATCTGAGAGTGTGTATGTTGTGTACATGTATACATCTCCTCAGTGTGTGTGCTCTGCTCAGATCCTGCTTAAATATCATATGGCAGTTACACATCTTTAGAGAAGGTTAAATGTTTGTTTGTTATCAAAAACCCAATAAATATGGTTTTGAAAGGTAAAATATTTTTTTTACTTCGATTTCAACCACAGGGAACCCACACAACGATTCGATTCCCAAGGAAAACTGTCACGAGATGTCCTTAATACTTTGGAGTTTAGAAAAAATAGTTTTTAATTTAATAATTTATGCCAGCCTCATTTTCATGTAGTCTATTTTATGACATGCACAGTTCTCAGCTACAGTGTTAAATTAGACTTGGTTCCATATCCAGAAATATTAGTCATGGAGGTGTTAGCAGTTAGTTAGTTGGTCCATAACAGCTACACTACTGTGAAACATTCAAGACAAAGCAATAACATCTCCATGGAGCATTTGACCAACCCTACACCAGAAAAGTTACACAATGCACCTTTAAAGCACCAATGGATCAGGGCGAAATGATCTGCACGGTTCTGACAATGATGAAGGCACAAATTGATACTTAAATTATTCTGTTAATTAGAACACTGATGTCAACTTTACCTTCCACCGACCTACAATATGGGCTATTCCTTACCTTCTGTGCAATCTGTAAACAAGACCCCTCCATATGACAGGTTTCTAAATGGGCCAAATTCTGCATACATTCCATTAAAAGAGCTGTGTGAGCAATGAAATGCAGCGAACAGACTCCTTCTGTTTGCCCCTTGGGACTTCTGGTTAGCATGTAATGAGTACGGTACGGAGCTTTCTTCCATCTCGGCAAATCCGGCACACATTTGGTACAGGGTCACGAAGTTCTTCCACTGAGTCTTCCTCCAGTCAATCCAGTCAACACAGTGGCGCATTTTCACCTAAAGATATGGTCTTGCTTCGGAGAGGTCAGTAGTTCAAATGCTAACAGTTTCCAGAGCGATTGGGATGATTACATTGGCAAGGTTGAGCGAGCTGTGTGTAATGTCCTTGGGCGAAATTCTCGAGAGCTGTCCGTAAAAAATGTACTAAGTCGGTGGTTGCACTGGACACTTCCCAAGTGCAAAAATGTGTAGGCTAAACTTACCTCGAAGTGCTAGCCATAAACAGAGGTAGTACTTAGGGTTGTACAGTCCAGCTTTTTCAGTTCCGATACTGATTTTGATACTATAGCTTTAAATATCCACTGATACCCAGTGATTGGAAGTAACAAAGATTACAAAATTTCAATACTAATTTTGAGTAACTGTGTTCTGATAGAGTCAAGTGTGTAGGTTTGCATAGGGACAGTGGGGATATATCACGACAAAATAGTCCCTACCAATATTTGCCATTTTATTTTAATAAACAAAAATATACATTTATTCTGATATTTTTCCAAACTCAATAGTATTAATTTAACATATTTTAGTTCACATTTTGTTTATTAGACGCTCTAAGATGTATTCAGTGATATGATGACAGGGTTACCCCTGCCGCTGTTTCATTTGCTGTAACAGAGTGATGTCATTAGTGCTGCCAGGAGCCTAAACTGGGGAAGCAGCAGGACAGTGCCAGCACACGAAGATGGCGGCTTAAGCAGGTGTGAGGGAAGACACTGCACCAAACTTTGAAAAACTTTTCAAAAGGAACTTACTTGGGTTTATCTTCAATTAAACTTGCCTTATAATGAGTCATTGTGGAAAAAAAAGACTATCACCACAAGTTCACCTCCCAAATCCAGCCCTACTCCTGCGCTGTGAGCAGCCAGACTCTACTGAAAATATTTCACGGAAAAATGTATGGACATAACATAACAAAATTAGATGAAACTGACCCAAATGTGTTACACAGCTGTGTTTTATCTCTCAAGTAACAACCAACAATTTATATGTGAGAAAAGAATATTTGGGTTGGTGCATTCCTAGAAGTACTCAATTACATGTACTTTTCTATACAATTTTAGTAGTTTGTAGATGCCATACTTTTACTCCTACATAAGTAATTGACAGTGTAACAGTACTCTTACTTAGGGCTGTCGCGATAACCACAAAAATGAATCACCGCGTTACTAAGAGGCCCACCGCAGTCAGTGTTGGGAAGGTTACTTTTAAAATGTATTCCCCTACAGATTACAGATTAAATACCCCAAAATGTAGTTTGTAACATAACCCATTAAATTACTTAAAGTGAGTAACGTAATCTGAATACTTTAGATTACTTGATATTGTCATGCTTTTTAAAACGACATGAATGTAGCAACCACATCCTGAAAATTCTTTAACATTTAACTTGTAGGCGATTTTATATTTGTTTTTTTATATCTCACGTCAGGAGAAGAATTTCCAAAACACAAATGTGTTTTAACCTGTGCACTGCTGGCTCTGTTCTACTGGCTCTTCAACCTCGTCCATTGTGTGACTGACGCCGCCAACGTGAACATGACGTTTACATCGCTCGTATTGCAACATTCTGTTTGGGTTTCCGGCAATGAGTGGAATTACCGAAATAAAAAAATAAATAAATGGGATGTAGCACAAAATGTGAGAACAGGAAAATACCGCCTTGTAATCCACTTATTTCAACAAAGTAACTGTAATCCAATTACCACTCATTGAAACAGTACCTGTAACCGAATACAGTTACTCATAATTTGTACTCTGATTACGTAACGGCGGTACATGTAATCCGTTACTCCCCAACACTGACCGCAGTGCATGTTGGGCCACCGTGATCACCGCACGTGACCAGCTTGACCCAAATCAGAGTCCTGCACGGGTCCATTTTTAGAGACCCACACCCACCTGGACCCGTTAACATTCTACTCGTTATCGCTTGTGCCCATGATAACCCAGGACTAACCCAGGACTAACCCAGGACTAACCCATGACTAAGGTGTGCTCACGTAGTCCGTCGGATGTCCGCAGGCGAAAGGACCCACGCAGAGGTCAGCCGTCGCCCGATCGTGCTTTGCGGACACCCTGCTCCACATGCTCAGGGTTTTCTCTCTCTTAAGTCCACGGGTACCCAAGCCGGTGCAGGACTCTGACCCAAGCTGCCACAGTGAAAGCTGGAGAGATGCAGCGGCACTTGTTCCAAAGTCAAATGTTACTTCTCCCACACTACGCATGACAACCAAGGTACATGTGCATCTGCGCAATAAGCATATCATCAGAGAGAATTTTCAGTGCCACTGGAAATATTATAACTCCGGGGGATTTGGGGTGGGGAGGGGGTGTGATATCACCGCATAACGGGGTGTTGAGTTGCTATACCGCACCACAGGAGAAATTCCTTAACTGCACCAGCCTTACTCTTACTTGTATAAAGGTTTAAGTTACTCCTCCCACTCCTAGGGACAATAGCCTTATGTTGACAATATTAAATGATTTGAAATTGGTACTGTTCCTTCAGATATGATTTTGTTTTTCTAATTTTTTTGTCCATCCTTTAAAAATACAAGATTTTGTTCATATTTTGCATTTAATGTTATTAAGTTGACGTTACGTCCAGGCAGTTACTCACAGTTACTTGGGTAGTAGTTCCCCCAATACATTTTTACTCTTACTTGGATAATTTGTTGGACCAGTACCTTATACTTTTACTTTTTCTTTTTTTTCTACTCTATCCACCTCTGGTCATGAATAGTTCTAGTACGAATAGCATTGTGTGTTCAGTGAAGCTCCCTTTGCATAATTAAGAGTGTAGAGATGAACATGGAGGAGGTCAGCCCACCGCCACCATCTGTGCAGAATCTTAATCATATTCCTCGCAATTGCTACATCAAATTTATACAGCACTATACACTGTCACAGCACTGTGAAATGACTGTTAGCAATAAAATGTGCTTTAATTATTTATAGAATATTGTATTAAATTCATATTGAGAATTTTCTGCTGCGGGGGTATTTTTGTCAAGTACAAGAAATACCGGATTGGATGCTAGTGTACGGTCTTATGAAGGGGATATTTCATTATAAGCAATCTTGGTAGGGAAATGTTAAAATCAATGCCATAATAGAATCGCTACAAATGGACAGCTTAAACTTGCTGATGTTTAAGGTGAATTGTGAGGCGATTAAAGGGACAAAGCTCCAGAGGGCAAACTTGGATGAAAGTGGTAAGCACTCCTGTCTCACAACAAGAAGATCATGATTCCCTGACACTATGGGGGGAAACTTTCAAAATGACTCAATAGTGCATGTTATTAGGTTCTTTTTTCAGACCAAGAGTTTGTTTTCATACCTGACAGTTTAGACTGCTCACTAGTGGTCTTCCTCAGAGTGGTCACGTGATGTTGCTGTAACGGGACTATAAACCAGGACGAGGGGGCTGTTTTACTCCCACACACCTGGGATACTGTCCTGAGGAAGTAGGACGGCAGATGGCGCTGTTGTCCTGTCTCCACCGGTAGAAGACAGTGCCAAAACCTGACCGGACACGTCACAGCAACATCAAGTGACCACTCTGAGGAAGACCGCAGTGAGCAGTCGAAACTGTGAGGTGCAAAAACAAACTCTTGGTCTAAAAAAAGAATCTGATAACATAAATTATCGGCAGACCAAATCAACCTCATTAGACTATTAGACTCAATAGTGCCATCTCAAAAATCAGATACATTATGACAATTAGAGACAAATGAGATTTGGTACAAGCAGAGCCCATGTCAAAATAAATAAAAATTATAATATAAAAAAAGTGATGATACAAAACAAATTAAAAATGATATTATGATCCTACCCTAAACCCAACAGGAAGTCAGCCATTGTGGGTAGAACAGTTTTTCCCCAAATGTTTTCTTTCATACACCGTGGATTTTCATTGTCATTTATATTTTTGTTCTTTGTTGCTGTATTATATTGTGATGTGTGAGCTACTGGGTCCAGATCGTGCATCAATAACATTTGTCTCAATCTAAGCGTACTCTATGTTATAACCTTACTCGATCCCAGTCCCAGTGGAATGTAACAAAGTAAAAGTAGAAAAGTACTTCTATGCATTTTAAATATCTGTACTTTACAGACACCTACAATCAATTTTAAAGTCAATGCTTTTACTTTACTACATTTGAGAGCAGGTTTCCGAACTTTCTACGCCACTACATTTTTTAACAGGACTGAAAAGTAAAAGTATCGTATTTTCCGGGCTATTAGACGCGCTCTTAAGCCTCTAACCCCTTCAAAAAATGACCGGGTGCCCCGCAAGCCAGAGCACCCTATACACGAATCCACTCGGGTGTCCCAGCACGACTTCAGTAAACCACCAAACCGCACCACCCACAGAACAAGCAAACATGCACAGAGCAGACAGCGACCATGCAGCGAAACACACCCTCAGCCACACTCATCACTCCACACCGACGAGGAATGGAACGGAGGAACGAACCAAAAAAACGAGTGCGATGTGTCGCGCTGAGCCACAACTGAACAACTGAGTCACTGCGAACACGCTGACAATCTAGCGGTCCCAGACAGCACCCTCCCTACACGCCACAACTGAACAAAACCGAGAGTCACCGTGAAACAGAGTCCGACTGACCCATCTAAATGTTGTGTTTCGTTAAAAGTCCAGGTGCAGTTTATTTGTGAAAAGATTTCAAAAATAGAACATTTAATGACAGTGTGTCTTATAATCCAGAGCACCTAATAGCCCGGAAAATACGGTATTATTTTTTATTATTGTGTGACATCAGCCATGGTGTTCGACTCCGCTCAAGTGAAGCTCGGACTACTGGTGGTTACAGAAGTGAATTTGGAGCCAGGCTTTATAATAGAACTAGTAGTAGTATTTTTTTTTAGTTGACACAATCACGGAATAAAAACACCAGGACCATGTAGAGAAGGTAAATATGAACAATTTAAGACCAAAATGATGAGGCTCACAGCAGCAGTTACAGAGAGAGGGGTCACAATATTCCAATGTTAGTCAATGGGAGCCAGGATCAGTTGGAGCCGGAAGAGCCCCCCCCACTTCCTATTTGGAACATGATGACTAGTGTGTTAGCTATGTCTATTTATATAGACAGTCTATGTGTGAGATCTGCTGAAAAAGCTGAGGGGTTTATAATCCATGTATCATTCGTTCATTCGTTTTTCAATATAAAACCAAAAATAAGAAACGAAATAACAACTGTTTTCTTCATTATTTGTCTCCAAAACCAAAATGAAAAAACGGATAACAATTCTTTTTTTTCAGTTTTTGATTTTGTGTTTAAATGAAGAATGGTTTCCCGTTTACGTGACTTCCCTGACTGCGATGCTGGACTTTTGCACGGCGTACGGATTGAACCAGGACTGATCCAGGTCCGAGACCAGACCAGGACCAGAGCGGGACCAGACCGGGACTGAGACCGGGACCAGAGCGGGACCAGACCGGGACTGAGACCGGACCAGAGCGGGACCAGACTGGGATTGAGACCGGGACCAGTGGTCTGAGCGGTTCCATGTCATCGTCTGCGCGCTGGTTCCGTGCGGGGAAAGCGAGAATGCGCTGTGGACTACAGGTCCGGACGGGCTGCTCTGGTCCTCCGCGCTCAAGAACTGCAGCTGGTTCCGAGGTGGTGCAAAGCATCCAACTGACGCTTTCACACCAACGAAAACGAACCAAACTAAGAGCTTCTGGTTCAAATGGACCAGGTCCGGGACTAGACCGGGACCAGAGCGGGCCTGAGACCAAGACAAGACCAGGACCAGACTGGGACCAGACCGGGACCAGACCGGCTTGAAGCTGAGGCTCGGACCCCGCGGAGGCTCGGAGTCAAAGCTCGGAGTCTGCGATGGTCCCGCTCTGGTCCCGGACCTGGATCAGTCCTGGTTCAGTCCGTACACGGTGCAAAAGTCCGGCATCGCAGTCACAGAAGTCACGTAAACGGGAAACTTTTCATTTAAACACAAAATCGAAAACTGAAAAAACTAATCATTATCTGTTTTTTCATTTTGGTTTTGGAGACAAATAACGAAGAAAACAGTTGTTTTTTCGTTTTCTTATTTTTGGTTTTATATTGAAAAACAAATGAACGAATGATACACGGATTGTTTATCTTTAACACATTTGTAGTTTGAGCAAACAAAAATATACAAATTAAAAACAGCTAGGGGTGGAAAAAATCTATTCAGCTGATTCTGTTAAACAAAATTCAACACAAAAGCTTTTTAAACTTTTTACTCTAAGTACATTTTTAAACGGGTACTTTTGCTTATGTAGATTTTTTCATGTGATACTTTTCCTTTTATATATCTGTACATATCTTACTTAAGTAACTAAACTGATTACTTCTTCCACCACTGCCCATAGCTTTGCAGTGGAACCTGAAAGACCTAAGCTTAAAAAGGGTGTGTTGTGACTTTTTAGGGGGAGACACTACCTCCTCTCAATATCGGGTTTCACATGGACTCAAAAACATAGTCCAAAATGCCCCTTACTGTTTAATTCAACCAACAACCTTACATTTTTATGGGACATTGTATCCTCAAAAGTTGTTTTATCCAAATGTATTTAACCTTTTTTGTTTGTTTTGTTTTTTGAAAATGTTCTGTGCTTGATGTTTGAGGATCTGGTTTGACAACTTTTCACTGTAGAAAAGCACCAACTCACAGATGTAACCCATTGTGTCTTGAGGTTTCCGACATGGCTGGCCTTCTTTACATTTCGTACCAGGGGATGAACCTTCCCATTCACTTCCACACTCCGGAGGCTCTGCAGGACTGGGAGCAGTTCACTTTTCGCCCGGATGATATTATAGTAGTAACATACCCAAAATCAGGTAACTTGTTTTCATTGTGTCATAGGTTTATCACCTATAAAAGATGGAGGTTTACTCAAATACCTTGGCTTGAGTAACTTATTGGTACTTCCTTTGAGTAGTTTTCAGACAGCATATTTTTGCTTCTTAGTGTAACATTACTGTTATTTGAGTAAAAGTATTGGTTACTCATCACACTGTAAGTACATTCCTTTAGATATGATTTGGTTTGTCTCATTTTTGTCATCTAAAATTTGAAGTAATGGTACTCTTAATTAAGTACATTTGTTGGCAACTCTACTACTACTCTCTATTTTAGCCATGTGTATTTATCCAAAAACATACAAGATTTTGAGTACTTCTTCTTGTGGGAGGGGATAAGTGGTTAGAATGTCTGTGTAACATTTCTAGTGGAAATTCTGCCATCTGCTTGTCTCCATGGGGATGATATTGCTATGCGTGGAACACTCCACAGTCTGGCTCTAAACTCTAAACTAGCAGGTGGCAGAACTACACTATAGGGGCAAGTTGCAGGTTAGATCTGCGGAGATGCAAGCCCAACTACACTAACAATAGATGGAAGATAAGACAAGACAAGACAAGTTTAACTCCATATTGTTGAACATTCTTGGTCAAATGAAAACATGCAAAGGTGGGTAGAGTAGCCAAAATGTGTACTCAAGTAAGAGTAATGTTACTTCAAAATAATATTACTGATGTCGAAGTACAAAATAAAGGTCCAAGAAATTGAAAGAATTTATACTTGGGAAAACTTGTACTTATGTAAGAGTAATTTAGGGGGTAACTGTCTAATCTGAAGTTTGTGTAATGTGAAGGACAAGATATTAATTATTATTATGTCAATATTAATTAATTAATTAGACTTGTAGACTCAACTTTTACTCAAGTAAGAGTGTTGTTACTTCAATAAAAATATGACCCAAGTAGGAGTAAAGGTACGCTGCTAACAAAGTACAGGTACAAATGTTACATAACGAGTACTGTATTTTTCAAGTAGAAGTCGCACCAGCCAAAAAATGCGTAATGAAGAAGAAAAAAACATATATAAGTCACACCATAAGTTGTACTTTTGGAGGGAAATTTATTTTATAAAATCAGAGACCAGGAACCAACATTTCATCTTGAAAGGCAAGTTCTAGTAATAACTTTAGAACAGAAAACAACAGGCTGTTAACGTCACATATGAACAGTTATTCAGATAATTATAGCACAAAAAACATTGCATGTTTACCAAACTCCATCTCACTCCAAATCACTAAATCCATTGAATTTTTTCATCTTCAGTATCACTTCTGAGCAACTCTGTGACCTTCGGAGGTAAACGGAGCGTCGCTTCCTCTTCTGTGTAGCTGTAATCAGACTCAGTATCAGTTCCAGTTAGAATTATTCTGGCCTTTCTGAATCCCGACAGGATGTTTTTGGTTGTCACTGAAATCCAGGCTTTGTTGATCCATCCACTGACTTCCAGGAAAGTTACATGGTGCACCCTCCCAGTTACTGTGAAGTTGTGTTCTCCATCCCTGCCTTTCCCCAGTCCCTCACAAGTTTCTCGCTCTCTCCAAACTTTCTTTCTGCTGCTTGATTACCGTTTTCTGCTGAATATTTCACTACTTGCAGGACAGCGGTCCTTTCTGTAGGAGACATGCGCAGTCGAGTGGTACAGGAGTAATAAGCGTAGCAGATACTGGCCCACAAGCCTAGAGCCTCTCGCGGGTGTCAGTGTGAAAACTTTAATATATAAGTCGCACTGGAGTATAAATCACAGGAAACACCCAAACCATGAAAAAAAGTGCTCCTTGTAGTCCAAAAAATACGGTACTACCCACCTCTGAAAACATTCCATTTGAAAAGTTACACAGTGCATCTTTTCAAACCAGAATAAAGTATAACATGTCTTCTTGAAATGATTCGAGGTACAAATTGGATGCTGGAGATAGTGCCACTGGTTCTGTCCGGAGGGGACCCCAGCCTGGTGAACTCTGTGGCCACTTGGGATCGCAGTCCCACGGTAGGATGTGTGCAGAATCCTACCAAGGATATGGAAAATTTGCCCACCCCACGGATCTTTACCACACACTACTTATACAACGTTCTACCCAAGTCCTTCTATCAAGTCAAACCCAAGGTATGTACTAAAATTTGCACAGAAACTAGACTCATTTGAGCAGGTATTGATACTAAAAAATGAAATGAACCTTTACTGAATATCTTTAGAACGATCTTGAGCTGTATCAGAACCAGTATAAAAGCACGTAGACTGTTATACACCCACGGACCACTATGGAACCTACCTGGACCGCAGATATAAGAGCGCATGGTGATATAAAAGAAAGTACTATGATTTAATGTTGAAAGAAAGTTAGAGCTTCTTTAGTCCAGGTTTAGAACTGGTTTAGACCATTCTGGAACATTTCATTCATTTATTTGTTTTAGTCTACAAGTGACAATTAACCTTTATGTTGACAATATGAAATTATTTCAATATTGTGGTTTTGTTTTCCTCATTTTTGTGGTGTAAAATTTGAAGTAATGGTAGGCGCGTTGTGTCATTTTTCTGGTAGAGGGTCCGTCAAATGTTTTTCTCCGTGGCGATATTATTGCCTTGTCTGGGATGTTTCACAGTACGGCATTAAACCTTTCTGTCATCATGGAGACCAAATCAAACCAAGTTACAGGTCAGATCTGTGGCGAGGCAACCCCGCTCACAGTCAGAATGTCTGTTTTTCTAGGTATTTTTAAGCAATAAAACCACTTGTAATTGAATAAATGTAAAGTAGAGCTGTTTAATGTCACACTGTGGAACATTCCAGGCAAAGTGATGAAATAAAAACAAGCAGGTGACAGACCCCCAACCTTTTTTTATTTTATTTTTTATTTTCATGTGTGTGTATATATATATATATATATATATATATATATATATATATATATATATATATATATATATATATATATATATATATATATATATATATACACACTTTAATAACAGTTTTCCAAATATCAGCATTGTTGGGATAAAATATTTAAATAAAGACAAAAAACTGAGTAAACACACACACACACACAAAAACAACAACAAAAAAAACAAAAACGAAATAATCAGAAAAAAAAAAAGAAATCAAAAATACAATAAATAAATAAATAATAAAATACAAAAATACAAAAAGAAAAAAAAAACTACCAGGTGACCTACTTACAATAAACATGTACCAGATTGAAAAAAGAGAGTGAGATGGGAATCAATGAAAGACAAGAGTGAAAAACATCATTCTGGAACCAAGGGAAAATTAAGAGACTCAACAAACTGAAAAAATGGAACCCACGTGTTCTTGAAAGTCTTCAATGACCCCCCAAGAGCATACTTTACTTTTTATAACTATGATAATTACTGAAGGCATCAAAACTGATAGTGTGAAAAAACTGAGTGAATATTGTCGATTCTTCAAAATAGCCACCCTTTCATTTGAGAAATCAGTGTCTGAAAATTCCTTTATGCTGGAACAGACTTAGAATTGTCATGTCTCCTTATAAAAACAGGCCGTTTAAAGGTCCTATATTACACAAAAGTGACTCTTGTGAGCTTCAAGCCATGTTATACTATTGTTCCTTCTTCAAAAAACACTCCTGGAGTTGTGTTTTGTTTCATTCACACACGTATGAGTAGTTCAAAGCTCAAAATGCTCTGTTCCACCTTGTGATGTAAGGAACTTGTTTCAGGTTAACCACTCCTTTTACCTTTAGTTTGGAAGAGACTGTCAATTCCAGGGCTGAAATCATTCAAATGATTCTAGTGAAAGTCTATGAATTTTAAAAACACAATGGCGCACTTCCTGTATTATCACATGACATCACAAGGTGGGACAGAGTTTTTTCAGTTCCTTAGAAATCAAGTTTGAAATTTTTGCATTCTGCCAACACTAGCCTAAACTTTCTCGCAGGTGATCTACGTTATGAGGAATCCCAAAGATGTACTGATATCTGCTTATTACTATTATGAGAGTGTGGATTATCACGCTAATCCAGGCCCGCTGAAAGAGTTTTGGCACAAATTCCTCGAAGGGGAAGGTAAGAACATTGGCAAACTTACAGCTAACATGCTCGTCTTTTCAAAATCTTGAAGAGTAGGCTGTGTAATAACCTTATGCAATCCCAGTGTTGGAATGTAATGAAGTAAAAGTGCTGTACTTAAAGGTGCACTATGTAACTTTTTGGTTGGGGGCCCATCACCTGCTTGTTTCTATGGATATGTCATTGCTCTGCCCGGAATGTTCCACACTATGACATTAAACAGCTCTACTTTACATTTATTCAATTACAAGTGGTTTTATACCTAAAAAAACAGGCATTCTGACTGTGAGCGAGGACACCTCTTCATAGGTCTGGCTTCTAATTTGGTCTGGTTTGGTCTCCTTAGAGATAGAAAGTTTTAAAGTCATACTGTGAAACATTCCAGACAAAGCAATAACATCTCCACGAAGAAAAACATTTGACGAACCCTCCACCAGAAAAGTTACACAATGCATTTTTAAGTATACATTTTAGATATCTGGGTAAGTAGATTAAAAGGGGATACTTTTAATTTTACTTCATTACATTTGAGAGCAGGTATCTGTATTTTTCACTCCACTATATTTCTGAACAGGACTATAAAGTAAAAGTATTTTTTATTCTGTGAGATCTGCTGAAAAGAAAAGTAATTTAAAACAAAATTCAGCACAAACCACTTTATTTGAAGCTTTGTTAGATCTCAAAATCTGTGCAAAATAGTTTTACTTTTTACTCTTTAAGTACATTTTTAAACAGGTAGTTTAATACTCTTCAGTAGATTTTTCCATGTGATACTTTTACCGGTACTTGAGTACCAGGGTTGTGCATGAACGAGTTCAAAAGAACACGTTCACTGAACACGTTCATTTTTCAGTGAACTTTGAACTGAACACAACACATTTGTAAATTAAGAACTTGAACGTGAATTTGTTTAAATTATGTGAGATGAACGACGTACGTCACTGTTGGGGTTCAGTTAAATGTCGGAATTTGTTTTCACCTGAAGAGTGACTTTCTGCTCACGCTTAACCTCGTGAAACCACAGCTGCGTGTCAACACGAAGGCGACTCCACAGGCAGCTCTAGCGGAACATACTGACTCTTGTGTTTCTCAATGGGAAAGCCGATCAAACTTGACAGGGCACGTTTAGTCGCTTGTATTTACCTTCTGTACAGGCTGACCACGGCAAATGCAAGGATATCAAAAGTAAATTTCAAAGCACTAATTAACAGTCTTTGTGGGGCTGGGCTCTTTCACACAATACAGAACTGCCCAGGGAGCACGATGTGCTGATGGTAAACGCACAAATACAACAACAGATCCATGCTCTCTGTGTACTTTGATGGGGATATGTGCCTATGTTCACGTAGAGTGTCAAAAAAATAGGATGGATCTTGTTTTCTGAAATCTACGCGTGCAGGACGTGCTGCTCCAAGCGCATCTACCGCGTGATGTGGAGCCGCCCTCATTCACTTTCCATGCATTCTTCAAATAATGCGTCCAAAAGTTGCAGTGACATCCCTCTGTCATAGAAAGAACACATATAGTCGTGTCCTTTAGTCCACCAGAAGCTGACGCATTAGCGCACAAGGAAAAAGCTGCTGTTATCCAGCGTTTACAATTTATGCAAATTAGCCATGTGGTTTTAATTATCGTTTCTGTAAAACGTAAACAAATGTGGCAAAGCTGAATTAAACACATGATAATCTCAAACGGGCTGATGTGGCTCTATAGTGCTTATGGTTTATATGTTGTAAAGTTGTTGTAAACTGTAAGTCAGTTTGAAAAATAAGCTCAGCCTTTCATTTACATATCTCACCTAAAAATAAAATGAACTGAACTTTGAACTAGTTCTAAATTAAAATTGTGAAGTATGAACGCGAACTGTTCACTTTGTACATGTGTGAACTGAACTTTGAACTAGTTCATGAAAAGTGTGAACTTGCACAACACTGTTGAGTACATATTTTCTCAGGTGTCTGTACTTTTGCTTAAGTGACAAAATGTAGTACTTCTTTTACCACTGCTTTGTCTGACCCATAGTTATGCAGTGGAGCCTGAATGACCTGAATGGTTATTGATTACATCTTGACTAAAACTAAAAATCACAGTTCTCAAAAGACTAAAGTTCAATTCAAATTTCTTTTCAAACCATGAAGTATAAATCCATGAATCCAACAGTTCATTCATTCTGTTCTCCGTGATCTTCAAGTGTCTGTATATCCTTTGCTAGTAGCCTTCTGAAGCTCTTCTGAATGTTTCACTACAACTAATTTAGGTAACAAACGTAAACTGCTCCTCTCTGAAAAATAATCCGATTATTTGTCAGCACTGCTGTCTGCCTGTCAATCAGCTGCAAAGGGACAATCTGATTGGTCAGTTTTAACGCTAGGACCAGCATCTTGTGGACAGAAGGCCCAAGGAAACAGAGGACATTTCTGAACATGTAACCCCCAAAATAACACCAAATCTGATACGATACTCATATCTTTAACTTATGTTTGAGAGAATTTTACAAAATTGTGATTTAATTGATGTAATAAAATCTTTAGTTTTACATTTTTTGTTGGCCAATTTTTGGTTCAGTTAAATTATAAATACTATTGTTTTCTGTCACAGTTCCATACTGTTCCTGGTTCGATCACATGAAGGGCTGGTTGAATATGGAGGACAAGTCACACATTTTGTACGTGGCCTATGAGGAGATGATACAGGTGGGAATAATTACAGTCACTAACAGCCCTATATTATTATTTATTATAGCCTATATTATGCTAAATTAACTTTTATGAACTTTACAAAGTTATGGCATGTTAATTTTTCTATATTTTAACAGCTGGAGGCATGTTCATGAAAGTTCTAATGCTTTACTAATCATTTCATTAAAGGTTCTCTTGTGAGCAAAATTGACTCTTGTGAGCTTTAAAACATGTTATAATGTTGTTACCTCCACAAAAACCTGGAGTTGTGTTTTGTTTCATTCAATCGTTTAGTTTGTCTACATCTCCAAAGCTCAGAATGCTCTGTTCCACCTTGTGATGTCATGTAGTGGTAGTTTTCAAGTTAACAGCTACCTTTATGTTTTTGTTCAGCAAAGTTGGCAATTCCAGGGCTAAAATTATTCAAATGATTCTACAGAAGGTCTACGGAGTTTGAAAACACAGTGGAGCACTTCCTGTATTACCACATGTTATCACAAGGTGGAGGAATGAGGATGAGGAAGCGTTAATAACATAGACCAGAAAATGCAGTATTGTGTTGTCACTGACCTTTAAATATGCTCTTGAATACATTTACTTTGACATTTCATGTTTGAACTGACATCCTGTTCTCACGGACGGGCTCCCTATACTGGGATCAGGTGTTAAAACTCCACCTACTCACACCAGAGGGAATTACCATTGAAAAGGCAACCTTTTCCAACATGCTTACACATGCAGTTGTAATGAACTCTATCATGATGTAACAATCCCGGGAAGTTCAAAAGTGTAAGTGCACAGACGGAGCGTACTGGCTAAATAGACTTCATCAAACAGTAAATGAAATGCAGTTATACTCCAAGATATTTTATGTATTTTTATTTTATTGGAATGCCCCTTGAGATGTGCCATCTCATTTTCAACGAGGTCCAGATATGTTTTTCATAAGGGAACAACGTTCTCTAGTCCACCTGGTGATGTCATGCAATAATACAGGAAGCACTCCACTGTGTTTTTAAACTCCATACACCTTTGATAGAATCATTTGAATAATTTCAGCCCTAGGATTACCAGTCTCTACTGAACAAAAGTTAAAAGGTAGAAGTGAACTTGAAAACTACCGCATCATGACATCACATGGTGGAAGAGAGCATTTTGAGCTTTGGAGATGCAGAAACAAAAACAACTCTGGGTATGTTTTGAGAAAGTAACAGTATTATAACATGACTTAAAGCTCACAAGAGTCAGTTTGGCATAATGTAGGACCTATAATGCTCTATCAACCTATAATGCTATCAATTTTGCATATTATGTGTCCTTCAAGTTTCGCAATTTGGGCCCCAAACTGCACTTTGCATGTGGAGACCTTCAAAGCTAAAAGCAGCCCTGCTCACTAACCTCACAGTAAATCGGTGAATTGTAATTGTGCTGTGTCTTTCTGAGGATTCAGGATCTGCCGCAGGTGGTCAGGAGGATAGCTGAGTTTTTGGAGAAGCCTCTAGAGAAGGAGCAGATAGACAGAATCGCAGACAGGTGTTTGTTCAAGAACATGAAGAACAACAAATTACCCTCGACCTTTGACCACTCCAAGTTTTTCAGGAAAGGTAACATTTGCACATTCAACTGTTTTTTAAACTGTTTTTCATGACTATTTACTCACTGAAGTCTTCAAAACTATGAATAAACATGCAACCTTCGGATCAGTGAAAAAAAAAAAACGCTCAATTCCATAAGATTCAAATTTATAATAATAATAAAAAATAAGACGTACATAAAGAACACAACAACACATAACCTAAAGGGTACAAACAGCTCAACAAATTTCTCAAATCATATTAAAGTGAAAAAAAACACAAAAACATAAATAATAGGGATGTAACAATAACCGAAATATCGTGATATCGTGTCGTCAAATTCTCACAATAATATCGTGGACATATGGATATATCGAATTACAAGTCTCTTTACTTAAATGAAGAGTTATGGTGCAACAACAGCTAAAAAAGACAGAGGGAACTACATAGACCATGATCCTTTGCTCCATTTCAGTGCAGACTACAAGAAGAAATAACAGTTCTAAGCATATAGCAGTTCTAAGTTAAATCGTAGTTCTTTGGATTGTGTTGTCAAGGTATTTTAAGAGGAAGTAACAGTTTTGTTTGCCTCCACATAATATCACAACAAATATTGTACCGTGAGATGTATATTGTGAATATATTGTACAGAGAGATTTGGATATCATTTCATCCCTAATCATGAGCCTCCCCACCGTATCGTGAGCTTTCCCACCATATCGCAATAAATATCGTACTGTGATGTTCATACCGTGACGATATTGTATCGTGAGCCTTGGATATCGTTACATCCCTAATGTGACGTAAACGCATATGCGACGTGAGTAGATCTGACCAGAGTTTTGCGTCTTGGGCAGTGTAGACGGAAATGCTTCAGCAAAACTTACTTAACTTTTCCTCTCTGGAGGGTGGTTTAAGGTTTTTGCATTTTTAAGCCCCAAAAACAACATCACTGTCTAAACGAAAGGCACTTCCGATAAAATATTTTGTCGTTTTGATCCGTAAGTGTTCTTGTGTAAACAGGCCCTAAAGTTTTAGATGTTTAGTGCAGATGCCACTTAATGCTGTCTGACGCTTTATTGTGATTGGTCGAATCCATCTGTCACTCAGTCAGCATTACCGAGACTGACCAATAAGAGTTAAGGGCGTGTGTCTTAGTTTGAGCACAGAATCACCCTGAATCACCATAGACAGAATTTGATACTGGTCATTTTCTTAAACTGAACGTTCTTAAATCTGAATTTGTGTTTCAGGAATTGCTGGCGACTGGAAGAACCATCTCTCAGAGGAGGATGCACAGTACTTTGACTCTGTATACAAAGAGAAAATGAAAGATATTGATTTTAAGTTTATTTGGGGTTAAAAATGGAGCTGGTGTAAATTCAGCCTGGGAGACCTAACTTTGCTTCTGTCAACCTTTACCCTCTCTTCAGCCTTCATCACCTCCTTCAAATACCTCAGCATCTAATCGTCCCCTTCACTCTCCTCATCCTCTCATCATCCCCTTCGCTCTCCTCATCTTCTCATCCTCTCATCATCCCTTTCATTCTCCTCATCCTCTCATCGTCCCCTTCACTCGTCTCATCCTCTCATCATCCCTTTCATTCTTCTCATCTTCTCATTGTCCCTTTCACTTTCTTCACCGTCTCACCGTCCCCTTCAGTCTCCTCATCCTCTCATCTTCTCATCGTCCCTTCACTCTCCTCATCTTCTCTTCATCCCTTTCATTCTCCTCATCCTCTCATCATCCCCTTCACTCTCCTCATCCTCTCATCTTCTTATCATTCCCTTCGCTCTCCTCATCCTCTCATCATCCCTTTCATTCTCCTTATCTTCTCATTGTTCCCTTCACTCTCCTCATCTCTCATCATCCCTTTCATTCTCCTTATCTTCTCATTGTTCCCTTCACTCTCCTCATCCTCTCATCTTCTTATCATCCCCTTCGCTCTCCTCATCCTCTCATCATCCCTTTCATTCTCCTTATCTTCTCATCTTCTTATCATCCCCTTCGCTCTCCTCATCCTCTCATCATCCCTTTCATTCTCCTTATCTTCTCATAGTTCCCTTCACTCTCCTCATCATCTCCTCATCCCCTTCACTCTCCTCATCCTCTCATCGTCCTGTGATAGAAATGTATATTGTGGAAAGATTTCTCTCTATCTTTTTATCTGTCTTTGTGTAAATGAACGTGATTTGTACCCAAGACCAGACCCCCAGAGGAAAATATTCATGATTAGTTTATCTTTTAGAAACACATTTGGTCTTGTAACTAAAACTCATTTGGTTTGGTCGTTAAAGACACTGTTAGAAAGACACTTCAATGTAAATACTTCTGTTCCCTTTTGCTTGCTAATCTTATCAGGATGTGACAAATGCATGTGAATATGACTGCAAATCTGGCCACACTTCAGTAAGAGTCACCACGTTCTCACTTTGAAATGTATATCCTCTGGTCATCGCAGGCTTTATAAATTCGATGCTTTGTAAGATTCGGGGTAAAATGGAGTAGGGACACACTGCTTGGGAGGGGAGGGTGTTGGGGTCTGTCCATATCTACTGTTATAAACATAAACCTTGGTCTGTATTCCAAAAACTCATGAGGCTTCGCAAATGGATTCATTATTTATCATGAAGAGATATATAATTATTTCCACAACGATACGCAGAACTGACTCTTGTGTTGACTTTGTTGTTGTTCCCACCTCAAAACATAGAGAGTTGTGTTTTGTTTCATTCACACATGTTTGAGTAATCCTTTATTATTAGTCCATCTATTATCTACAAAGCTAAAAATGCTCTGTTCTACCCTGTGATGTCACAAAGTGGTAGTTACCGCTAACTTTTACCTTTTGTTCAGTAGAGTTGGGAAATTCCAGGCTGAAATAATCCAAATGATTCTAGTGAAGGTGTATGGAGTTTAAAAACATAGTGGAGTACGTCCTGTATGACCAAATGACATCACAACGTAGAACAGAGTGTTTTCAGTTTGAGAGAAGAACTCAGTCTAAATATGTAGGGTTTGTGTGTTAACATGCAGACGTGGGTAGTACTCAGTTACATTTAGACTTACGTTCAGACTGCAGCCTGAAGTGACACAAATCCGATTTTTTCCACCCCTATGCGACCTGTAGCTGATCTTTTACGCATCTTTAAAACCGATACATATCTGATCTTTTGAAGTGCGACTTCAGTCTGAACAGCCAGGTCGCATTCATCCAACCTACACGTCACAAATCTACACAAACATTCTTCTCATCAAATGAAAATTGTCTCTGAACATTGTGTCAGTGAAGCAGTGAGGGTCATAACAATCCCACTCTTGGCTGCGACTTCGCACCAACACATTCCTTTCTGTGGACGTCGCTGCCACTGCCCCGCAAACCACCATGGTCAAAAACCTCGTCCTTCTCCTTCTCAATCTCCTCCTTAAAACAAATAAGCTGTACATGTTCTGGCTCTGGTACGACAGCAACTTTAAAATCTCCAGGTGCTCAGTACTAGCGTCCATGTTTAGGCGACGTCTGTAAACACAGAGCACGCTCGCTGTGTGTGACGTTGTCGTGTCCTCCAGTGCACATGTGGGACACTTTAGGGGCGTTTAAAGTTCACACTGGAGATCACATACAAGTCACATTTAATTGAAAATGTGAATGACCTTGCAAAAAAATCTGATTTCACAAACAAATCTGAATTGAGCATTAAGCCCTGCAGTCTAAATGTAGCCTTAGACAAACTTTATTGATCCACAAGGGAAATTATTTGAACACAGCAGCTCACACGTTACAATATAATATAATAACAAAGAGCAAAAATACATTTTAATAATACATTTAAATAAGTAGCAAAAATAGCATGAGACTGGAGTCAAATAAGGCACAATTAAAATATAGTAAGTACAAAATATATGTAGGCTTTACTAGTATACAGTACGTGAGGTGGGGTAAGAGGAAACTGCAAAGATGAAGCAGTGATTTGTAAACTAGGGTGTGTTAGTTTCAGTGTAGTTAGTTCCTCTCTTCAGACAGATTTAAGCAGTGGTGTAGTGGGGATTTGTTAAGTGGGGGTACGCGAACCAGGACTAAACCACATCTAAACCAGGATTAACTCAGGACTAAACCAGGACTAATCTTGGACTTGAGAGAGAAAGAGAACCGTGGCCGTGGATCAGGGTGTCCGCAAAGAGCGATCGGGTGATGGCTGTGCTTAGCTCCGTGAGGCGCTGAGCTCTGTGCCGGGCATTTCGCCTGTGGTCAGGTGCACCTCCAGGCCCGTCCTGACACTCGGTCCCAGTTTATTTCTGGTTTAGTCCAGGTTTAGACTTAGTTTAAACTTGTTTTAGTCCTGTTTTAGTCCTGTTTTAGTCCTGGTTTAGTCCTGGTTTAGTCCTGGTTTAGTTCTGGTTTAGTCCTGGTTTAGTCCTGGTTTAGTCCTGGTTTAGTCTGGTTTAGTTCTGGTTTAGTCCTGGTTTAGTCCTGGTTTAGTCCTGGTTTAGTCTTGGGTTTTTTTTTATTTGTTATTTTTTAATATCTCACGTCGGGAGAAGTGAGTGGACGGCGTACCCCTGCGTACCACGCCCACTACACCCCTGGATTTAAGGCAGTGACTTACAGAACCCTGTCAGAACAGAAGCTACTTGCATGATTGGAGAAACATATTCACTCATAAAACCTTCATCCAGTCGACAGAATTCAATTTTCTTTCGCAATGAACCTACCTGGACGACTGAGGGATTACACACACATTAAAAATGCTAAATAAATGATTCACTGGCTAAAACCAAATACATTTTCAGCCTGACACAAAAGCGCATATTATTTTCCTTGTGCGCGACTGTTTTAAGCCTGTGTGTGACAGTAGAGCAGTGCGTGTTTCAGAATGTGCCATTGTAGCAGACTCCCCTCTCTCCTGGACCGTGACTAAACGCACACATTGTGTTCTCTCAGCACTGGGCTTAGACACTGTTCACTTGCTCCGCAGCTCTGCTCAGTCTGTGCCAGAAGCTTTGTCTCTCGACCAGCTTCAACACACAACATCCGCAAAACTGTGAAAAGTGCATGTGACAGGTTTTCATCATTTTCTAATTAGGACTTGCTTCGGTGGAACAGTATCTGTGGTAGGTGTTTAGCATAGTTTCCATTATTTAAAGGAACTTTGTGTAGCATGCACTCTTATAGTTTTAAAAATGTACAATCACAACAAAACCGAGGTTGTTAGTTCCTTACCTGCAGATGGAGGACACAACACATTTTTGGGGTTTAGGTAGAGTGTTTTCAGATCAGAGTCCTTTAAACTAACTGGATTTCAACACTAAAACTGGCAACTCAAAAGATGGACTCATGTGAGGTTGATTCTCTTTTCTGACTGGATAACTATATTGATAACCAAAACACCAAATTATAACAAACAACAATGGTGCTCCAGTGGCAAAAAACTGTTGCTGTGTCCATAGGCAAGGGACTTCACCCACATTATTACCCAGTATTAAAGTGGTCTGTGCATGAGTGTTGGTGGTGGTCGGAGGGGCCAGTGGTGCAAAGTGGCAGCCTCGCTTCTGTCAGTCTGTCTCAGGGCAACTATGCCAACAAAAGTAGCTTACCACCACCGAGTGTGAAGTGAATGAATGACACTGTGCAGGACCTTTGCATGTCCAAAAAGTGATAAATAAACTGAATGTATTAATATTGCAACATGGCCACTAGGGATGTGCAAAAATATCGAAATATTGAAATATCGTATCATTTTAATGTTATGTTATAGTTGTGTTAATCATAATGTGATGATACAGTATCAATATTGTGAGCTACTGTATAAATATACAGTGGTCCCTCGTTTATCGCAGGGGTTATGTTCTAAAAATATCCCACGATAGGTGAAATCTGCGAAGTAGTCAACTTTATATTTTACAAATATTATATCTGTTTTAAGGGTGTAAAACCCCTCACCACACACTTTATACACTTTTCTCAGACAGGACACTTACAACCCGTTTTGCATCCTTCTTAAAACTTATTGCTGCTGTTGTCCTTATGTTATTTTCCTCTTTCTTAATGTAACAAATTGAAGATTCATTTATTCCGTAATGAAGCCCTGCAGTGCAGAGTCCTGCACCTGAGATTATATCAAACTTTTGCGCTGCATACGCCACGGATTGAACCAAGACTAAACCAGGACTAACCCAGGACTAAACTAGGACTGATTCCAGGACTAAAACAGCAGTAAACCAGGACTGAACCTGGACTAAATCAGAACTGAAACAGGACTCACTGTCAGGACAAGCTCGAAGGTGACCGCAGGAGAAAGGACTGGCTCAGCTTCGCACCTCACGGAGGTAAACATGGCCATCACCCGATCGCACTTTACGGACACCCTGCTGTGTGGGCTCATGGATCTCTCGCTTAAGTCCTGGTTTCAGCAACTATTTGCGGGTACCCAACCAGGTGCAAGACTCTGCTATTGTGCATAACTTCTCCCTTTCTTCAGCGTGTCCAGAAGTCAAACTTTTTGTGCGATGGTTAGCATCTTCCTCTGCCTTTTGGGCGCGACCACAGGAGCTTTTGTCGGTGCAGAACGTTTCGTCAACATTGTAAGGTTCTGTCAGGGAGAAAACTTGCAAACATACAGCACTTCAGGATCACACTGCTTCAGATCCAACATGTATGTAAATTTGGCAGCTGAACACATTCTGTACTGTACAGGAGACAGGAGTTCCTTAGCCAATCAGAAAGCAGAGGGAGGTAGGCAATACGTGTTCATGTGCAAAATTGCACACAAAAAAATCTGCAAAACAGCAAGACCGCAAAAGGTGAAGTATTTTTTTTATATTTTACTCAATTATTTTGTTACAGCGCTAC